TCAGTACGCGGTTATTTCGCTCATCAAATTTTGATAACGTAGACAGCCGCAAAACTGGTGTCTCGCGCGCGGTCGAACCTAAGTGTGCTAACTTCAAATGCTGCCACGTTACCCACTCGACCATTCGGTCAGTCCTTGCCGTTTGCATCAGCAATATGAGCAACGCACTGGCAAATGGCCGCCTGTAAGAAGGATCGATACATTGCGCGAGAGACTTTGACCTGGAAGAACAGCTGATTGATATGAGCGAGAGAGGGGCGAAATCGGTACAAATAAGATTTAGAAAGGATTGCAAAAAAAGACGGTGTTCCTTATGGTTCTAAGGCATTACTAGATTTTTTTCTCTGTTAGAAAATCGTCGTTTTGAACAAGAAAAACTCATATATTGAGAAAAATGAAGGTTTTTGGATGGAAAGTAGAATTTTTTGATATGTTCGCCCGACGTAAATTGTGTGATATCGCCGCAATTCGCAATCTCACAGACGCCGTCGGCAAAGGTGCCACCACCTCGACGTGGTAGGGGCACGTCGAGATGCCGGCAGCTCCCTCTCTCAAAAGAGCACGATATTTCCCGTGCTCTCTGACCTGCCGGCAGCTGCCATCTCGCGGATTTCGACGAGCTGCCGGCAGGTTGCCGGCAACTGACATCGCGAAGTTGCCGGCAGCTCCTCCTGCGCTTCCAGATATTTTACCAAAGAACGAGTTCTGGAACCGCAGACTTTTATGGAGTTTTCTACAAAGTCGAGGCGGCATCTTTATCGAGAAAATTTTTTGGAATAAGGCCTGGGACGGTTTAAATTTGGAGTCTCACTTTCTGGCCACCTCACGGAAAAGGTGCCAGCGACCTGCCAACGAGACATGCCGCCAGGTGGGGGGGATTACTACCGGCCCTGAGGTGCATCTCTTGAATGTAGAGGTACCAGCGAGTCAGTTGAGCGCATTTGATCGCCCTAGTGAGCACATTTCGAAAATATTCATCTGCAAATTGACTCTCACATACACTTGCAGTAACTCTGCAGTATACCATCACTGCAACAAATAAATATTATTTTTTGTAATGAGCATATCGAATAAGTCCTCTAAGCAGGCATATCCGTGTAAATTGCTTTCCTACAGTATACCTATCGTACCCCCACTTCCAATTTATCAGAAAATGCTATGAGCCGAGCTGAATCGAATGGTGGCTCGGATTCAGAATTCGTCCACTCTGAAGCGAGATATGGCCACGCGACGGTGATGTCACATGAATTAGGCGCCTCCACATAAATCACCCCCTCAGTCGCATGACTTACTCGGTCGCCCTAATCTACTTCGATTCGCGTTTTTTTTTCAATGTAAGCAGTACTGTACATAAGATTTTCTAGTTGTTGCTGCTGGTAGCTTAATTTCAGTCTGAGCACAATGAGAGATTAATGACACAAAAGATAGGAGTAGGAAGCTGACTTTTCAGAGTTATGCCGCTGTTTTTGACAAAAAATCTTCTTGTGCACTGTCTTCACTGAGTCAATTCTATGAGAACCATGGAATTGGGAACAAATCGATGAAATGAAGGAAAAATGAGTAAGAATTTGGCATTGAATGCGTGGGAACATCTCTGGAAATTCGCAATTTTGAGTTGAGTTCGCGTTTTGATGAGTTTGAGTTTGCAACTTTTCATGTGCAATCAGCACACGGACATGGGGAGGACAGTTTAATTGAAAGAAGAAAGGAGGTAGGGGAAGGAGATTTTGGTTGGACAAATTCTTGGTGACTCGACCATTATGACGAACTACCTAACCGTCTGACTCTAGCCAGGTTAAGATTCCAAATATGTGAGTTTGTGTAATGTAGCTCACCCAGAATTTGATAAATGAAACAAAGAGGAGGGTCTATGAAATGTGCTGTGATACTTGCTTAGAACCGGGGGGTTTTGAAGAGGCTTTTACGATATTGTGCTCAATCCCAGTCACAATCTGCGATTCCTTTGACTTGATTGAGCCACCGATTTGATGTCTACATTCTGGTTCAGAGCAACAAAAAAGGGTTTAAAAACCAAAAATCGGTGTTGAAGACTTGCTCGATCACCTCCGGAATTTCATCAAATCAAATTGGAAGGGACTTGTCGTAGAGGAAGACAGAGAAACACAGAGAAAAGCGTGGAAAATTATTTTGTAAATGTTCAAATGCTTATGCAAAATTCCTAATTGTTTGAACTTGGAACTTAGCCATTCAATGAATGATGCTTTTATACTTGCCTCAATAAATCAGACAAAAATCAGGAAAGTTTTTGAAAAGAGTTAGCAAAAAATGTAGTTACTATTTTCAAAATTTAGTGTTTTTACTAGAATTATGATGAGGAGATGTATACCCGATTGTACCGCTCTGAGTTATCATGACCGCTCGAAAAAAGCTGGGACTTGAACCTCTTGTTCGCAGAAGAGCTAAATCTAACCTATTGTTTTGCTTCAGATTTTTGAAATGTTAAGTCAAGTTGCAACCCATCGAGTACTGGATCTTTATACCTGCTTACGATAGACACGGTGGTTTTAACTTGCATTACTCAAAAGTTGAGAGGAAACATGCCAACCTCTTATTCAATCATATCTTTTGTCGGGGAGCTAGATGGTTACGGTGCATACCTCGCGAAGTTTTGAGTGCTGACAACTGTGAAGCTTTCAAAAGGAAACTGAGAAAAGTTGACATTTGCCAATTATTAAACAATTCTCTGTGATTGTCCCTGGTCTGTTTTCATTACAGGTTTGCCTGTTTCTGGTCTATTTCTTGCTGGTCCTCGCCTGTCGACTCATGTGTTTCGGACTTTGCTTTCCCACATCGCTTTTAACAACCGCTTTCGTGAAGCTCTTTCCTACTACGTCGTTTCATAATTTCATGTTTTTTTCGATTAGTTGTGCTCGTGTTTCTCGATTTATCGTGTTTACTAACCATGCTGTGCTGGCTTGTCACCCACTTTCGGATTGAGCAACAGCATTGTGCCTTGGGACCGTAGACAGCTGCGTTTCATGCATGGCTTTCCCAGAGTAAGGTAGTTGTATCCAAGCGTCGGTGGTGTCAGGTTGGTGGATACCTGCGTACAATCGCTCGGGGCAGGCGGTCCGCAAACTCGCGTTTTCCTGCAGGCGGTCAGCAGAATTTTGGGGCGTGGCAAAACCTCCAGCGAGCGGTACTTCTTCTGCTGTCGTGTGTTCTGCCAGCGTGCAGCAATACAAAATTTTCTGCAAGCGGTCGTCTACTAGTTTCTTTCAGCGAGCGCTGGCCAAACTTTCGAAAGGCGCTCGGACTCTTTAAGCACTTTCGGGCGTATGACGTGCAAAGGTGAGACTCTATTCGGCAGAGGTGTCATCGCTGGTTTGATTACCCAAGTTTGGGGTAATTTCTCTCTGCGGAAGGTACCTTACGGGCCGCACGGTTCACAAAGGACCGTGTGGCCCTTAATAATTTCGCATATTCTCGCGGAAACTCCGCGAGAATGCGGCCACTGCGCCGCAACTTATCCACTGAAAAACCGCGACAGTTCTCCGAGTATTCATCAAAAAATTGGCCAACATTCTTCCAAATTTTCGCAAGCGGAGCGCAAGAAATCAGCAAACTATCTTTCCGGTGCCCGCTTGCCCATAAATCGCATGGCCGCCTGCCCCCAGCGATTATCTGAGTGGCAGGAACCAATCGCAGACGTTTTACACAGCTTGGAAAAGGGCAGTGGCTACCCCAGTGCCAATCACTTGACCTTCCCTGACCAAGTAGAAATTTTTTCCTCAATACCTAAGGCCCTTATTCGCTGTTTGTTTGTTCTGGTGAAAGCTGACAGGCTAGTCTCTTACTCTGCAATGTTTCGTTACTCACACAGGCTCTGGCACACGTTTACGTGTATGAAATAAAGATAAAGATAAAGATAAAATAGCTTGTATGTAGTGTCCTTCTATGTCATTTTTTGTGAGCTGAGTTCATGAGCAAATCCGAAACGAAAGTTGAGCAAATAGTATGTGAAGTTCACTCACTACATGTGATGTCGGATGATCAACAAAAAGTACAATGCCGCCCACAGACCAATTTTTCAAAATCCCCGGAATTCGACATTCACGGAAATTTTGCATGTTCTGTGAGCGGGTATTGTACTCTAGAGGGGCTTCGACTTCATGTCATGAACACTCATATAGATTACTTAGCTGTGCAAAGCTTCAGAGTCAACCTCTAGTGAGACAGTATGTTAGCTAAACGTTCGTAGATGACCTTTGCCAACTATATAAAACTCGGAAGTGACCGCGAAAGCCAGATTCACCATTTTCAACAACTCAATGGGAATGTTGAAGCTCTTCGTTCTCGGAACAGTAAGTGTACTCTGTTTCTTCTGTTTTCTCATTCGAACAGCACAGTATATACTTTATTAGCTACTGTTACTGGCAACGGCAGCTCCAGCAGGGCAGGAAGTGGACTCGGAACAGGTAAATTTGAGAGTAGTCAGAAGAGAACGACTGTTTTGACTGATACATATTGTTAACAAACACATCTTCACGACATCTTTCTCAGAAAATTGTGTAAGTGATGCTTGGCTATTTGTGATAGTGAACTTAACGAAATTGATTTGAGAATCTTGTGAATCTTAAAATCAAAAACTCGGTTCTTTTTTTCAGTGTAATATAGAAAAGCCGAATCATTTTTCCCATCTTTCTACGAAAACAGTCTTAGCAGTGTGCGCTGATTTCCCTTCCCCCCCCCCCCCTATCTTCTTCCCTAGCTGAGTGTTTACACTCGGAGGGGCCATTATGGAGAGCAAAGCAAAGATTTGGAAATACTGTCGTGGGACATGGTGGCTCCATCCCCCATTTTCTATGAAAAGCGTATAATAAAGTTTATATCCAGACTTTGTGCAAAACGAACTCCTATATTTTGATATGCTGACACTAAAGAATTTTTACCGGCATCTCAGAAAGCTATAGTTTGGTAAACAAACTTTGGCAAACCTTTTCTTCGAGGTATTTGTTGGATAAGTTCCGACAATTCAGAAAGAAGTAAGCGGAGAAGAAGAGGAAGTGGACGAGACTTCGTCGGCTGCAGCGGTAAGGTTTCTTGCTTACGTTTTGATTCTCAACCTAACGCATCCTTGCCGGCTTAATTTGATGCAAACAAAAACTGCACATGCATAGCAAACCAACCCATGTATTCATTACCCTTGGTGCAATAATGCTTGTACAAGGAAAGCTCATAAAATATGTAATGTAAATCACCACATTTCAGGGAGGAAGTGCAGAACAGGGATCACTTGGCGAACCTGAAGAACCGGTGGGTCTACGCTTACACATTGGTTTTCAACTATTCCTATTTGCTTATAATCTTGTAGAGATCGTATTGAACTTGCGATATTGTAGTAATCGTAGAATAATAGTAGTTTGAGTAACACTAACAGTTGCAAAGCAGTAAAAAAGAAGCTAAGTCGTGTATAAAAAACAGGGTTGTAAAAGTTTCTTAGCTTCATGTTCGATGGTGTTTTACATCATCGAAAACACTAGTACCGTGACATAACGGAAACACCCTTTGTTATCAATTGATAGGCTTTTTCGTCATTGACGGAAGAGGAGAAAACAAAAGATGATAAAGAATACGAAGAAGAAGAAAAAGAGGTGAGAGCATTATATTTGCTCCCCATTTTCTCCTTACAACTAAATGCGACTTTACAGAGATTTACATTAACAAGAGAAGTTACCTAACTTAGCTTGGCCTTTTGGCAAGAGAAATATATACTCTGAATCAGCTTCAGACGCTGATTCCAAATATGCTATTCCTAGCTGCCGCGCACCACTCCGAAACGAGTTATGGACTTTTTCCTGCGCAAAATTTACATACTCATCAACTCACTGGCATCATGGTACCTCACCTAAGCGCAAATACGCTTGCGTTAAGCTTCTTTTTAGTGAAAAAAGATTGGATTTGTGTTATTTTAACCTCTCAGCACCTTCTTCTTGCAGTTTCTTTTATCTACAGGCGGTCTTCCCTATTCAGTAGTACTCCTTTGCGCAGGAAAAAGCCCATAACTCGCTTCGGAATGGTGCTCGGCAGCTAGGAATAGCATAATTGAAATCAATGTTTGAAGCTGATTCAGATCATTTATGGCTTTTACCAAAGGGCCAAGTTGAAGGCAGCGGCTCGGCAGATTTTCAACTGCGGGGTTTTGGCAGATTTGAGGCTATTCCGGCCCCTGAATCACGATATGAACTCCCCTTAGCGCGAAAATGGGGAAAACCCCGTCTTTCAAACCCCTTTGACCCGCGGACGAGTGAGCCGATTTTCTCTGCCGTCAAAGACGCAGAGTAAGGCCCTACGAAGCTACGAGTGACGGCGCGTTTTCTAGCGGATAACACACTCGTCCGAACAAGGTGTTAGGGGAGCGAAAGGAGAAAGGGGAGCGGCCATTAGGCCGCCCCCCCCCTGGCTTGCAGAGTTCACATTTTCGACGCGGAGTTGCTATTTTGGCTCACTTGGAGGGCCTCCTGTCCATCTGTGTCAAAATCTGAGGTAGGTCTATTCTGCCGAGCCGCTGTCTTTAAGTTAGGTAGCTTTCCTCGTAAGGAAAGGAACTATGATGTGTTTTTGCAATAAATTTGATAGGCAGCTTTCGAACGTTTATTATCATTAAAACCTTAGATAACACCTATGTTTGATTGGTATTTATAAGCTCAATCACCTTTATAGGTCGACTCGCAGCAGGAAGAGGAAGAAAAAGAAGAGGTAAATTTGCTGCATATCGTCTAAAAATACTGTACAAATGATCTTGCAGGAACCGATTGAGGAAGAGGAGAAAGGAGAGAAAGATGAGGTGCAATTTTTAGCATTCTTCATTGACTGCGTAATCCATGGCTTTGAATAATCACCCATAGTGAGCGTTTTCCATGTTTTAGATGTATAAGAAATTGGGTGAAAGTTCTTAGTAGCTTTTGTTTTATATAATAGAAAACACTACTAGTATTACTGTGATATGATTGAAACACCCTTAGTTATCATTTGATGGCCCCAGCGAAATCGACAGAAAAGGGGAAAACAAAAAAAGATCCAGAACCCGAAGAAGAAAAGAAAGAGATAAGGGTATTATAATTTGCTCCCACTTTCTTCTTACGACTGAGTAGCGACTTTATCGCGATTTACAATAAGAAAAAATATAATGTGTTCTCGCAATAAATTTGAGAAGCAGCTTTCGAATATTTATTATCATTAAGACCCTAAATAACATCACTATGTTTGGTTGGTAATATAAACTCGATTACCAATTTATAGCCTAAACGGGAGAGAGAAGAGGAAGAAGAGAAAGAAGAGGATAAAGAGAATAAAGAGGATAAAGAGAATAAAGAGGTAAGTTGGCCGCATATCCGTTTATAAATACTGCGCAAACATTGATCTTGAAGGATAAGAATGAGGAAAAGAAGGATGATGAAGAGAACAAGGTACGATTTTGAGCATTCTTCATTGCATGAGTGTTCAGTGCTGCAAGTAACTCCTAACATTAAGCGAAGAGTTGAAAGAATTTCGAAAATGTCACATTTTTTGCAATTCTTCTCTCAGTCTAGAGCGCAGACGCTTCCGATCATTCAGAAGTCATTTTCTACTTATGGTTGGAAATTTGGCTTCGCTGCTTGCTACTCAAATCATTTCAGAGACAACATTTCTAATGTAGATAGCAAGGCATTGTGACTAAGCATCATGACACGAGTAGAGATAATAAATAAAATAATTCGAATGGATGATAAGTGGTGTCATCGATGGAAAAATAGATACAGAAGTTTTGGCAAAAATCTACAGTTTTCTTGAGCACGAAGAAGCAAGTAAAGTGATGTCTTATTGATATCTGGAAATTCAAACTATTATACCTATATGAATGAATTTTGATTTTCCAGGAGGAAGAAAAGAAGAAGCCAAAAGTACCTAACACAGTAAGTTTCTGCATATTTACAAATGACCTCTTGCGGGGTAACCTGAGCCAACGAAGTTCGTAGTTAAGCTGAAATATCAAATTTTGTTGTAACTTTGCTGCGTTACTTCGAAAAAGAGACGGGTATGATTAACTCTTGTGTATGACTTTCAGTCAATTCAGTACAGTCTAGGGGAGCTCGTTACATGTGTTCGGCAAACTAGAAATCATCGCGACGCAGCCTCGGGACATTAACCCGCGCGGGAAAGTAGTGAGGGGAACTTCTCCTCGCCTCAGTTGCTTGATTATTCTATGCCTCTTGTAACTAGATACTTACTTTCCTGCAACGATTTGGGGCTGAGGGTGTCGTGCTCTAGTACAGCTACCGGTGTAGTCTGGCTCAGTTTTATGTCCGGCGTGGGTACTAAAATAACGGCGAACATGCGCACAGGAAAAGTTGAAAATTGGGGGTACATTTATCAAGGTAGGAAGAAAGAAGCCTACATGTGTAAACACATCTGAGTTTGATGGTGCAAAAAAAACATGTCTGAACTTATAATAACATTTCCGAAATTGCAAGAATAATATGAAATATAACATATGTCTGCATCTAAGAAATAGATTTGTATAACTTTACTGCAACTCTAAGCAAGTGTAGTGACTCCATGATAGATTGAGAATTGGAGTTTACACCTTGCAATGTTCGGCTACAATGCTGCAGTAGTTTCAATATTATTTTCTTTCTATTTGCAATTCAAAGTTGGTAACGTAACATTAGGCTGGCTATAAACTACTTCATTTTGCAAATAAATCTTCGAAATTTTCCTTTTTATATCCGTATTTTTTGCGCAGTGGTTGCTTAAAGCTTCTGCCAACAACACTCAGAGTGCTCTGTCATCATTAAAGGACTTTATGGGACAACATGGCTAAACTTTCTGAAAGCTCAGTCTTTTGACTTTTCAAGTTTCGTTCTTATGCTCTAGCATGAGTGAATGATACTTGTTTGAATATACACAATTTTTCTCTGTCCAGCGAAAAATAGTAAAAATTGCGATCTGCTTTTGAGATAAAAAGAAAACGAACTTTTCACAAATTTACTCACAGTGAGGAAATTGGGAGATTTCACAGTTCTGCATTTTTGCTTTATAAAAAAGTATTTAATTGGAAGAGAATTTTAGATCCTATTTCTCATTGTGGTGCTCTTTTCAGAAATAATAAAAATGAACAAAAAACCATATGCAGCATTCATAGGAACCGCAAAAATGACCGAATGCATGTTCTACCTGTTCTATTTTATCATATAACTTCTGAACCTTATTACTCAACCATCATGTGCATGCAAAGTAGGGTTCAAATAAATGTAACTATGGTTGATGAATTTAAACGGGTAGCTTCCATTGGATAATTTTTATAGGACGCTGTATAGGAATCATTTTGTGGCTTTAGCTAGAAACAACTGATGCATAACATAAACTCCGCGATTTTTAAGCTATGTAACTATCCGAAGATCTAATATGAGAAGAATTGAAAATAATTTTACTGCAGTTAATATTTTAGGGGCCGAAAAAAACGAATAAAACAGCCAGGCCAGCTAAACCACCAACAAAAAAAATTCTACCTCGTAAAGCAGCAAATGGGAAGAAACAGAACATCAAGAAGTGGAACAACAAGAAGAGGATGAACAAGAACAACAAGGGAAAACAGACGCGAGGAAAATTCAAAGGCAAAAGGAAGGCGCTAAAAAAGGGGAATTTTGGCAAACCGCATGGAAAGAATAAGAAAGGAGGGAAATCAAATTTAAAGGTGCAGTTGTATCAGCAATGACACATGATTCAAGTTGTGGATTTTTTAAGCAACCGCAGAAGAAGAGGCGCAATCCGAATGCCCCGTTGAGAAAGAACTTGAAGTGAGTTTACACAGCATTGCATTTTGGCTAAAACGTGCTTACGATTTTGAAGGCTACTAACTGTATTTTCAGTAAGCTCCTTTCGTTACCATTGAATCAACTGGTGAAGAAGAAGCATCTTAAGCAACTGAGGGGTTAAGAAGATAGCAAGCTATATCAAAGTTACATGTATTAATCTAACATGAATCTCCTCATGTCAACAAATTGACTTTTTGAATTTTGAAGAAAAGCCCTTTCCTCATCACACTTTACCGAGTGTTCTTGTTCGTTCTTGCGCTAGGTCTACTTTGAAAACAGTGGAAGAGGAACTCTTTGACATTTTTATATTGTTTTATAGACCTGCTTGAAGAAGTTTGCAGAAATCAGCACCTCCAGAGTTCCACACATCCTCTAGAAATGGTGTCAGGGTTTTGGATTTTTTGAATAATGCTAAGTTAAGAGACATGATGCTGCTTACAATGAACAAGGTACTCCCGTAACCCTAAAGTAACGGGGAAAGATCGGTGCTTTGCTTTTTAGCGAGTTGAAGTTTTAAGTTGAAGCCAGCTCTGTAACATAGTACTCGAAGATTGACATAAGATATTGACGCAAGATAGATATTAGGTTGTCCCGAAAGTTCTGTCGTTTCATTTCTGAAAAATTTAAATTAGTGCTGTCTCAGCGAAATTAATTCATCATATTTTATTAGAAAGAGTAAGTCTTTCGCTTGCGAATGCTTCTTGCTGATCTTCTGCTACGCACTGAGTGCAGAGATAAAAGTAGAAAAAGATGACCATATAAACATTGTTCATTTTAACTTAGGTCGCCAAAAATCGAAAACGGTGCTGAAAAATCTGAAATCGTCAATACATAGATTTTTTGGCCTACTCTTTGCAACTGTGAAAAGTTTGTCCTTTTTGGACGTCTCTTTAAAAAGTTATGATTTTCGAGAAAGTCAAATTCATCAATTCTGGGGTTTTCTGTAGTAAACTGGTATTTCGTAACTCCCCACAGAGACGTCCAAACACAAATTTCGCATTTGAAAAGGGTAGGTCAAAAAACGTATGTGTTGACGATTTCAGGTTTTTCTGCAGCGTTGCCGATTTTTGCGACTTAAGTTAAAATGAGGAACTACATGGCCTTTTTTTTCCTATTTTTATCTCTGCAGTCAGTGCGTAGCAGAAGATCAGCAAAAAAGGAAAAGACTTACTCTTTCCAATCTCGAAAGGGAAAGACTTACTCTATCCAATAAAAGTTTAATCGAGTAAATCCGTTGAGACAGCGCGAAGTTACGATTTTTCTGAGACGACAGAACTTTCGGGACAACTTAATACATAACAAAAATTAGGGACATCTTTTGGAGCACCCTGTACCTCATATTACTGAACTGCTTATGACTCGAAACGCAAAGATGGTGATTACTTTGTGATGTATTCGTCTTAAAGCAAGAGATTTTAGATGTATGTAGGTAGTCACAATTTTCTGAATTAACCCGCAAAACAGAAAGTTGTCTATGTCAGAAAGCAAAGCATACTATTTATGAGTTTTTTATTCACATGGAAATTAGCAAACGAACTAGACATGTTTTGGACGCCTGCCACATTTTTCTTGAGTAGAGGGAAAAACTAAAGTGTGGCAATAAAAACACTTCACCTCTTTTTTAGAGCGTATGTGATCAAATTCATTTTTTGATATTTTTCAAGCTGAAGCAGAGGAAAAGCCTGCCATACTCAAACTCAGGGCAATATTCTTTTGGAATTTGCATGACTACGAGTTCTCCACTCACGGCGCAAGTCAACTGTAGTTTTTACGTTAAATTAGCCCCCAGTATTTGTAACTTTTCTTCAAGATGATTTAATTTTTATGAAGATGACGGGTAGTATAGTTGAAACAACCACAAAATTCCGTCGAACGAACGAATATCGAATAATCGGCTTTTGAAAAATATTCGAACGAACGAGTATTATTCGATATATGATTTTCAGGTTATTTAATTTCGAATTTTTGAATAATGCTACATTTCAAAATTCGAATAAAAAAGTAATCGAATAAAAGGAGTTGATCGAATAGTTGATTATTC